TATTGTGTCGGGAGGAGATTACTTTGAAGGCGACGAAATAGATTTGGAAGAATAAATAAATATTTTTTGAAATAAATAAAAACTGGTCTTACTTTTTGGACACAGTAGTATTTCACTATTAGTTAACTCTATCAAGGAGCGTTCTATTATTTCGGTTTTTTTTTTTATTATTCATGTTCAATAAATATTACATGATTTCCTAACACAAGGAAGGTTTTACCCATATGGTACATAGCACTAATAGTCCTGTGCTTGAACTCGAATTGCCCCCTTTTTCCTATTTTTTGATTGATATCTTCGTTTGCGAGTTCTTATTCTTTCTCTAAATATTATAGTAGAAAATACGTAAATACATACCCGATCAATATTTGCCGAGAGAGATTGGTTTACTTTCATCTGAGATTACTCGAAAGGACTGCATCACTTTCGCTACTAATGAATTAATTAATAATGAGGCCGACAGACAATGTCGTATCGGTGAAGTTAATGTCGATACTCGTGATTAACAAAATACGACGTTAACGCGACCTCATAAGTGAGTCTGTGTTTACAAGCTTTAATTCATTTCGTCGCAGGTATAATCTTTTAATAACGTAAATCGTTTCTTGGACATTTTTCTGTACATCCCGTCTGGAAATCTGCACGGCGATTTTGGTCGCACGTTAGAAGGAAAGCGTAGTAGATAGCGGCGGGACGCCACGCGGTCGGGATCTATATTTTCCTTTCGTTCCGGAGAGAGAAAAATATCGAAAGCGCGGTTTGCTAGGCCGGAAATCGATCCCGGATCTTTCGTTTGCCGGATGACTGCTCTGAACCACTGAGCTACCTGACGCTCCACGCTCACGACACTCTCCTCTCCCCAGATAACGTTCAGAGATGCCGTTCGGAAGCGACATCTCCGGTGCTATCCCGAGTGTACCGTGACTACAGAGAGAAGCAATGTTACCGTATCAGTGGTACAGCATCTCTCAAAGTCAAAGGTTGCTATCCTTTAAGACCTGCTATCCATGTTGCCTCTCTTCATCCGGTGCAAATCATAGAAAAAGCCTCGGGGTCGACGCCATTTTTTGGTTATCTCCAGGTGCTCGGTCACGTCTTGCAACGTGCCTGGGGGATTCAGCCATGGAAGGAGGAGGACGTACTTTTAATAACGTAAATTGTTTCCGCTGGACATTTTTCTGCATCCCGTCTGGAAACTGCACTGCGATTTCGGGCCGCACGTTATGTGTGTGTGCATTCGTATTAAACACTAAATCACAAATGTATGCATAATGAACTCGTTGAGTCCTGCTACGAAAATGACGTTTGCACATCGGATATATGCATGATCTGCGGTTACATAAATTACATTCAGATTAACGTGCTTTCGTAATCATTAAAATGTGCGACGATTTCCCGTTATTTATTCACCATAATTATCGCCGGCTGTTTATCTCGTCTAATTCGTTTTCTGTGTAAAATAACACGTTATGTGCCGTCGATAAATTCCTCCTGCATCCTGAAGAAGAAAGTCTGCTCTGAGGAATATTCTAACGAGATTATCATTGCAAAAAAGTTAGCGTTACTTTCAAAAGCTATAATACATACGCTTCGCTCTGCATATATGCGATGATTATATTAAATTAGTTTCAGAAGTGAAAATTTAGAAAAGTATCAAATTAGTTTAAATCATAGCATCTCTTATAATTACTCTCTAATACATTTCTTTTATAAATTTGGACAGAAAAAAAGTGTATTGGGTTGATCCGTAAATTTTTGCGGGTTTTATCTAGTTGGCATTCGTATATATATTGGTATTAGAAGAACAGTTCCATACAGTTTGTCATCTATGTATATGCTTTGATAGCTGATATTTTAGAGGTACATTTTACGGGGTAAGCGATAGTGTTTAAAGAAATACAGTTGTTTTTGTTGCGGTTTAGAAATGGAAGGCAGTAATGAGTTTTTCCGATGCATTATGCTCTTTTACTTCCGAACATTTTTAGAGCTTGACTGGGATATTTTGCTGTACCCATCATATTCACTCGACATTGCTCTCTCCGATTATCATCTGTTTCGCTTACTACAGAACTTTTTTGATGGTACAAGTTTCATTTCTTTAGAAGATGTGAAAAATCCATAAGAAAAATGGAAAGTTTCTTCACCAGAAAAGCACGAGAATTTTACGAAAATAAATTATGAAATTGAAGATAGCAAAAGAGTGTCAAAGAGAATGACAAATATATTTTTAATTAAATTCCTTTTTAACACGAATAAAATGTATTTCAGCTTTGGATAAAAACACGCACGAATATATTAATCAACCCAATATCACAAAAGATGTGATATACATCCAGTCGCAATGTGTAGTTTATGCTATCTATCAAAATAAAAAAAAGTACTATTATTAATAACTCTACCTATTAAAGAAACAACAGTTTTTTTTATTTTGAAATAATATTATTGATATATCAAAGTATATGCAAGCATTGTAGCATCTGGTTTTAACTTAAACATATAACTTCAAGACAGAGATCGCATGAAGAATAGTAGGATGGGTTGAATTGTGCAGAAAGTATTCATCAGAAAAAACATTCATTTTGTATCTAATCTTACTTTATTAGTGCAATTAGTATATACAACTGTTGATCGCCAAAGAACTCAAATTATTGTGTTCGTGGTTATCAAAAGTTTCCAAATCGATTAAAATGTACGAGTGTACATCTTGAGCAGCATTTTTCGAAATTTTCATGGTCCGGTCCTAAATTCTAATCACGAGCCGTCGTAGGTCCTAATGTCGTTGATCCGTCACTCTTTAATACAGGTCTCTTTAGGTCTCTTTAGTAGGTGCCATAGTAAGGATAGCGGTAATAAGGGTATCCATGGTAGCCATGGTAGGCATATGGGTAACCATGATAAGGATAGCCGTGGATAGGATATCCTCCATACGAGTATGGGTAGCCTCCGTATCCTCCGTATCCTCCGTATACGACGGCTCCTCTCTTGGATCTATCGGTGGAATCCGGTGCCGTTTCTTTCTCACTGGGCTTCTGCGCCATAGCGATGGCGACGAGAGCCAAAAGAAGGATAGCCTGTGAAAATAATCTCCAATTAGCTTGCAATTAATGTTTCCGTTTAATTAGTTCAAATAATATTGAAATCGTGTTACACTGCAGAAAGGCTTTTGTTGTTGAAACACACATTTAGTATACCGGTACCAACTATAAGTTGGTTAAAATAGGATCAATCAAATGTTTGATAATTATAACTAAAAATTTAATTAGTGCTGTGTGTGTTTTGCTTTCTCAATAATATGTATATTTGACATAAGTAAAAAACACGTAGTGTCAATAGAATTGTATGTAACACAAATGTTTTATTTCCAAATACAAAAATAATTTTTTTATTGTACTGTTGTTTCCGGTGTAATTAGTGTTATTGTGTAATTTTCATGTAAAGCTCAATATAGGAACATTGACTTCTCCATCGTTCTTAAATATTTTTTTCTACATTTATAGATAAATTTTTCAAACAAAATTCATTTGCAATGATATTAAATAAAATAAAATAAGATTGAATATATATCAGATATCTTATGTAATTGTATTTTCTTTAAATAATATAATAATAATATATAAAGAGAGATATTATGATTTTGTATAACTTTAACGAGACAGATATTCAACAAGATTTTATAATTAGTAGATGTATATTCACTGCGTTATGCATTCATAAATAGTTGTAAAATGTATATATATATATATATTTTTATAATTTTTTAAATTTATGAATGTATGACGCAGTGAATATCGACTAATTATATAATCTTTTTGAATATTTAAAGCTATATAAAAGCAGTAGCATGCAAGATCACAAGAATATTACAGTGCTATGTAGCCATGAGCATCACGACTTGATCTAGAACTGGAACGTGCCGCTGATCAAATCGGTAGATTTGCGAATAATCGCGATAATGAGGTGATTAGGTTAATCGGTGTACGCAGTATAATCAGCAAATAAGTGCGGTAAATTATCGACGAAAATCTATCAGAGTCCATGCGACGCGCGCACATGTACCGACTCGGTAGACTCTCATCATGCGGAGAATTACGAATTTGCAAGCAGTTTTGTACCACTCAGATAACACAAACTTCCAGAAGAAAAATTTTTAATAACGTATAAGAGACATGCAAAAAACATCTGAATAAAATAGAGTGTATTAAAAAATTAGTCTAATATGACTCTCAGATATGCAATCAACAAATTACGTGAAGAGAAAGACGTGTAAGAGCCAAAGCACAGATTTAATAGTACGATTGTTTATTACAAAGAAAAAAAAATAGTGTCTCTTGGACGTCTTATAGAAGTTTGTGCTATTTGGGCGATGGTTGCCTCGCACCGTAATAACAGCGAATGTTCCCGAAAATATCGGAGAGGACCCATCGGAGAAGACCCATATACTTACAACGCAGTACTTCATGGTTGATCGGATTGGTTTGGTTTGCAGGAGATCAGCTGCTGAACAGTGGCTGAATGATGCCTCTGCTTTTCGGCCGATTGCTTATATACCCGACGATCGGATCGCTCCATGGGCGTCACTGGTCGATTGATCAATGCACGAGGACACACGCAATTTGTATATGTTGCGTGTGTGAGTGCGTGCGAGCTGACCGTTACATAGAGGGGTTGTTATACGACGCGTATTGTTTACGCCTTCTCCCATACGTAATCTGCGAACGGCGCTGCCACCGTCGCATTCGTCGACGTAGACAGCGAGGTGCGCGAATGCGTCGCATATTCACGTATTCCGCGATGTACTCTCTCGCGGTACCATCGTTAGATGAAACTCATAAGTGGGGGCGAGGAAACCTTGGCAATCGGCCAAATACAGAGGAAAGTGTTTTACAACGCTGACATAACTCGATGCTACTTGTGTATACGGTACCATACTTGTCCCAGCACTTATTTCTAACGTATGAACTCGATGAACTTTAACGATGATACACGGTCCTGTGTAAAGAAATTGATAGAATTGGATAAAAAAATCTGTGTCATTGAGTGATAAAGTGATAAACTGATTTTGATAAAGTGATAAAATTACATAGAAAGATACTCAAATATATATTTTAGCATTAAAGATAAGTTACGCGATATAAAATGAAAGAAATTCATAACATTTTTTTTATACGAGCTGAAATGTGAAAAATTGAAATTTCCGATAGAAATGATAGGTTCAGGCAAGATCATGTAATATCTCAATGAAATTAATATACATATTTCTAGTAATCCTTTTCTCTCTCTCGGACTTTTCAAGCAAGGAGATTATTACGTATTGATAAAAAAATATGTCAAAATTAATAAGTATTAATTTGGTGAACACACTATTAGTATATTTATTTAGATAAATTCTTTTATTTAAATATAATAAATAATTGCTATTATGAATAACTAAAATTTTCTTAAAGTTTTAAGAAAATATATATTTCTTTATTTGAAAAAAAATATTTAATATTAGTATAAGTAAATATATATGCTGTTAGTAACCAAATAAATATTTATAATTTATTAGATATTTTTTCCTATTTGTGATTTTTCTCATACGTTTACTTTTTCGGTGTTAAATATACCGGTGTTAATATACAAATATACCAAGAAATTATAAAAATTTAATTAAATCAAATTGCAATAAAACTTGTCGTGGTTCATCGTTGAAAATATACTGCTTTATAAAGAATAAAAAAACTTTATAAAAAAGCTTTATAAAAAATGGCAAAAAACTTCAGAAATATATATGCTTCCTTTTTATGCAATTTTACTAGGTATCTTCATATATACTAGTATATATAGGCACATGTACGTACATATCCCGTACATAATGTTTACTAATAATAACTTTATGAAATTGTACAATTTTCTAAAAGTTATCGTATTGCCATATAGTCATTGTGTCTAATTCTAAACGGCTAAATGTTGGCATTATCATGTAGATGGTATACGACATAGATAGACTTAATTAGTGTATGTTAGAAGTCAGATAACTTTATTATATTTAGAAACTGATAGCGCAAGTTTAAATAATATACACAACCAATTTCAGTGAAATACAATTAAAGTAATATTAATTTTCGTGTCCCTGAATTATTTTATATCACATGATGAGCTCCACAGATGAATAAATAATTGTGGAATGCGTGGACTATTTTAAGATACCACAATTCTCTCTCTCTCTCTCTCTCTCTCTCTCTCTCTCTCTCTCTCTCTTTCTCTCTTTTCAAAGAAAATATATGTATTGAAGAATGTAGGAAGAATGTAGAAAAATGTAACAGGATTTAATAATATACATGGTTTTATTTTTCTTACATGACTTATAGATATTATTATTTATTATCTCTAAGGGAAAAATAGCGCTTTATTGAATGTCATAACACTATACATTATCTACTCTCAAAACGCCGCTAGCCGTTTGTGTATACTACATTTACTGCGCGGAATTATACTTGTATTTGTAAATAGCAAATTCTCGTTACGTCGCTCATGGTCGTATTCGCGGAAGCTAGTTAAATATTCAGTCCACATCGACAAAATTAATTAGTCACACGAATTTATTTTAGTTGAAAATCGTTATCGTTATCGAATGCTATGTGTGGTTTGCTTTGGCTTTGCAAACATTTACGTTAATTAAT